AGGAGAAATAAGAGTTCAAGTAGAAATAAAATCTACAAAAAAAACTAAATTTCAGAATAAAAAATAAATAATATTAAAATAAAAGACCATCTCGAAGATAAACACGAAATTAAGTATAATTCAATATAAAAATAAATAAATTCAGTAATTATAAAAATAAAAATATTAGTTCAACTAGGGAGACAATTAAAATTTGGAATAAAAAATAATTTAAAAAGTCCATGTAGAAAATAGGAGCACAAAATTAATTAAAATTTGGAATAAAAATAAAAATAAAATTAGGAATAAGAAAAAGGAAAATAAGAGTAAGAATATATTTTATAAATAGCACATATAAAAAATAGAAAATAAAGAATATTAAAAAAAGTCTATCTATGATAAAGGGTGGCAAATGACGATAAAGAATGGGACATTATGGAAAATGACTATAGGGAACGGGACATCAAGCAAGCTGTAATGGGGTAGGATGATAACAATTGATGGGACATCTAAATACTATGAAACAACACCCAAATGATGATTAGGTTCAATTTTTAGAATCCTAATAGCGATTAAGAGGAGGGGCGACGGGGAGGCCGTAAAGGAGTATTGTCGCGACGGTTGACAAGACTTCTAAAAAGTAAAAAAAAAAGAACTAATGATAATCAAGTTTAATTTTTATAATCCCAATGATAATTAAGAGGAGTACAATGGGTGTGCCGTAAAGGAGTATAGTGGTTAAGTTTGATAGGACTTCTAAAAACTATGAAAAAGAAAGCCTGACGAGACAGGTTTTTAAAGGTTCCAAAGGGTGATGAATAGAAGTCGTGATAAACATGATAAGAAAATAAAGGGGAGGTTAAGGAGTGTGGGGTGGCGATTAGTGTGACTTTTAAGAATTACTACTATAAAATTTAGAACTCGATGATGATAAGGTTCATTTTCAAAATATGTAAGATAACGAGATGACTATTTAGTAAATTTTAATGAAAAACATGTGTAAAAAAATAATTTTGAATGGAAGCTAGCCGCGCAGTTGCGCGGGCCACCCAGCTAGTTAACATAATCAAATCAGGTGCACGTACGAGAATAAGAAACGGAAGAAAATAAATTAACTAATTCGATATACTCACGATGAGTCCGTTGATGGAGCTGCCACCGTCGTCTGTCCCCTCCTTTAGCTCCGTCGTGTTGTTCGTCGTCGTCGTCGTCGTCTTGTTAGGCAACATGATCTTCATCTTGGCTGCCGGTGCTACTATCGCCGTGCCTCTCGAGATCGACTAAGACATTGTTAAGATGAGTCGCCATCATCTATGATCTATGATCGATCAATCTGCCGTTCGGTGGCATCCTTGGCTCCAGATCTCCTCTTCGCTGTTCCCCAGCTTCTCCGCGGTTCACGCCCGGTTGCTTCTGGCCTGGTGAACAACTCTTGGGTCTCTGACATCCGCGGTGCCCTCACTGCCCCGATCATCTCCCAATTTCTCTTTATTTGGGATGCGGTACTTCACGTTCAGCTCTCACCAGGTATCGAGGATCGTCTCATTTGGTGTTGGACGTCTGGCCATCGCTACTCAGCGCGTTCGGTGTACCAGGCTTTCTTCCATGGCTAGCATTCCTTCGCATGTGCTGATCTTCCTTGGCACGTGCTAAATGCAGATTCTTCCTTTAGTTTGCTTTCCAGCGGCACTGCTGGACGACTGATCTCCTCCAGAAGCGTGGCATCAATAGTCACTTGGCCTGCCCCTTTTGCGGTCAGGATCTTGAGACGGTGAACCACATCCTCCTCGACTGCGTGTTTGCTCGGCAGGTCTGGCTCCGTGTGCTGTCGCCTCCTGGATGGGCTGCCCTCCCCCTCCCCCTCCCCGTGGCAGCTGGTTCCAGGACTGGTGACCGTCCTCCAGGGCCTGCTTACTAGAGCATCTCCGTGCTGGCTTCGACTCCCTGATCCTCCTAGTCTCCTGGCAGCTGTGGAAGGAACGGAAATCTAAGGTTTTCGACTCTGTGCTCTATTCTATATCCGTGGTTCTAGAGTCCATCCACTCGGAGGGTCATCTGTGGTCTTTAGCTGGCATTGCCGTTTTTGGAGATTTGTTGGGAGTGTAGCATGGCTTAGCCCCTTTCCGCTGCTTGGAGTTTATATTTAGCCGCCGTAGTTTTTTTTCTTGGCTCAGCATTTTTAGTTTGTTTTTTCTCCTTTCCCTTGGCAGAAGCCGGTCTGACTTATTGTGTCGTGTAACTATAAGTCTTTTCTTCTAATATATTGACGTGCAATTCTTCTGTACGTTCGAGAAAATCTATGATCTGTCTGATCAGCGTGCGTGTAATTAACCTCTGTTTACGTTTCGGGTTTTAAATACATTATTATGTGTGTCGTATATATGTTTAAATTTAGACCAGGGATGAAGAGATCAAAACGAATTACAGTTGAATTATAATTTAGAACTGAGTATTAATTTATAAGTCTGGGCAGACGGTGGCCGGACTAATGTCGATCCTTTATTCATAAAATGGGATCGAACTCTATTACTCTATAGTACACCGTAGTAGACTTGTAGATAGTCCTAAACATCAGGTCGGGTCAGCTACATACTACAGATGAAAATATTTATATCCTATCCTGTATATTTTTTTTTCTTCGAAGCAAAATACCAACAGTACCGGACAACTTATATATCTCTTCGTTCATAACATATTATCAAAACTATAAAATAGATATTGACCTATGCAAATATTTTTAAACAAATGATAATGCATGCATCATGCATGACACTGGATACATATATTTTGTTTAATTATTAGTCAAAAATTATCAATGTCGATTTGTGGAAGGAAAGAGTATATTTTTGACTAATAATTTTTGAAAGAGTATCTCCTATCTTATCCTAAATTTTTCTCCTTTTATAATAAGATTCAAGGATAATATCTATTTGTACCTCTTACTAGAAAAAAAAATGCACGTGCATTGCAACGGGTAAAGGTATTTTTATTCAGTGATAAACACTTATTAGAAGCTGAGTAATAAATTGAAACACTGTGATCGCTATAAATTATAATTGAAAAAGTTAATTAAAATCCTTCCTTGGTTTGGGTCCAAAGCACATTCCTTCCATCCTTTTCAGCCAAGTCCATTTCGCGGCCTCCTACCACCCTTCTATCGGCCTGCCTCTTTTCGGCACAGCCACGGTGGAGCCTCGCTGCCTCCTATCACCCTTCCCTCGACCTGCCTCTTTTCGGCACAGCCTACAAGTGGAGCTACCCTTTTCAGTAGCATGTTCAACCTCCGAAAGATAGTCACATGCCCGTAAAATATCGGAGCCGATCCTCCAAATCAAATAGGGCCAAATCTTCTCGATCTTCCAAAATTAGTTGAGAGCTTTTGATCCACTTGATCTCATCTTTATGTTTTCCCCAAAAATCAGAGCAAACCTGCAAAACTCGAGATAAAAACGACCGGGGGAACTCACCGGCTAGCCATCATTGGCGACCGTTAAACGGAGATTAAATACAGCGAATTAATGCTAAACTAAAGGAAAAAAATCATGTTGAAATGATGAGAGAGGAGTGGGGAATCGATTTTTGCAATCAATTGGAGGAACAAATGCACGGGGAGGCAGATTGACATGGCAGCGGCGCTAGGGTTTGGCTCAGCGGTGGCTGGAGGCACACGCTGCGCGTGTAGCGGATCAGATGACTTACGAAAAATAAATAAAGAATTCTTGCTTTTATTAATTAGGTATAGATATATAATATTCACTGGTACGAAATCGGTCATTTGTGTTGGGTGCCACCCTTATGTGTGTTGGTGGAGAACCTGATCACAGAGAAGAGGTCACTAATGTGAAAAACTCGTCTGCATCGGACGAGCGACCGTTAGGCATACATTTTAAACGGGTTTTAAAAAAACAACCAGTCACCGATATGGTTCACCCAGAGCAAATTAGATAACAAGCCATCCCGGACGACTCATCGGTGATAGGGCCCAATTACAACTCAACAATGATGTTGTTCACTTATGACGGGGTTACGTTGTAACCCATTACCGATGAGGTTTTACCTAAACAGATAATATCATTTTATTGTTAACCTCAGGCAATTGCGCCATGCCCCCACTGCAAATTGACAAAAATATAGAATTTGCCACTAATATCACGCTGATACGTGGGTGTTCCTAGTAACAAATTCATAGATATAGGATAAATTATGTTGGTGGTATATAAACTTATTAGACGGGTGCAATTTAGTACATGAATTTATAAAACGTTCGTTATAGTGAATAAATTTGTCTAGGATGTGTAAACCAAGTCGAAAACAACGTATTATGACTAATTATGTTGAGTTAAATCATGATTAGTATGTCAAACGCACACGCGAGGGGGTAAGAAACATGTCATATTTGCAAACAACCTTTATATATACACACATGGCACTTATTTTTTCCTTCCATTGTTTTTTTCCGTTGCATCTTCTTTTATGTATTTATACATTTTTATATGTGCAATGAGCATGGCTTATTCTGCGTTTAATTGAGCACATGCATATGTATGTCGCATCGTCTTGATATGCAAGCATACGTGGCATCCTAACCGGTGTTCAACTCAGTGAGATTAGCTATGACGTGTTTCTTATGTCTTGGTTTGTGATCACTTGTTCTAAATTCTGGAGATAAGGTCTTCCATGGATACCCCCGAAACATCCCCTCGATTTTTTTCATCATGAATGATAAACTAGATGTTTTTAAATGGATGTAGATTGAAGAAACTGTGTAACTAAGCCCCCTCAATTTTTGTTTCTGGATCCGCCTCTACGTACCCGTCATCGGCTCGCATCGCATCGGGCGCTCGGTGCAAAGCATTATCGACGATAACAATAATTAAAAAAAAATATATCACGCAAAAAGCAAGCTGAAATTGTTTTTGAAAATAAAAAAACAGGAAAGAAAATGTGTCTGAACCTTTCTCGCTCCCTCCCGCGCGTTTCTCTCCTCTTTTCTCTCTCCTTCCTTGATCTCCTCTCTCTCTCCTCCTCCTCCTCCTTCTCCTTCTCCCTCTCCCGCCCGATCCACCCAAGAACTGCCGATTTCGCCGGCTCGATCCCCACCCCGACCCCGCTGCCTCGCGGGAGATCGATCGTTCGATCGATCAGAACAAGCTAATTCTCTCATTCCTCTCTCTGTCTCTCTCATCGGTTCTTGGTTCGACCCAGCTCCCAGATGATTTCATCCTGAATCATCGTCGTCGTCGTCGTCGTCACAGGCAAGAAGAGGAGAAGGAATTACACCTGGGATTATCGATTGGTTGTTCGGATTTTCTTTTGGATCTATTCATGCTCGCTCTGTGCGCCGGGGATTCGATCGTTGGGCAGGGCAGTGATCTCTGCGTCGAGGGTTTCGACGAATTGGACTGCAGATTCGTCGCCATCTCTTCGCAGAGGGGATTCTGCCTCCGCCATGGGGAGGGTCAAGCTCAAGATAAAGAAGCTGGAGAACAGCAGCGGCCGACATGTCACGTACTCGAAACGGAGGTCCGGGATCCTCAAGAAAGCCAAGGAGCTCTCCATTTTGTGCGACATCCCTCTCATCCTGCTGATGTTTTCACCCAACGACAAGCCCACGATTTGCGTTGGCGATCACAGGTGCCAAATTCATTTTCCTCTTGTTTGATTAGTTATTAGTTTATTGTTACAGAATTCTGTCAGTGTCATCGATATGAAATGCATTGCTTTCTGAATATCATACACTTCTGCACTGAACAGTCTGAACTTTCTGTTTGGAATTGAAGATTTTGATCACCATGCATGTAATGCATATGATTTTTTTTTTCCTTTTGCATTTTTTTTCTATTCTCAATCTAATTCATGCTGCTTCTGAACGAACCCAATTCCACAAATTATTCTCTGTTCTTTATGCTCCTTCTCTGTAGTATTTTCAATGCTTTGCATATTTGTCCATATGTCAGGAAAGTTTCCAGATAGAAATGAAAGCTCTTAGAACATCCAGAATCCCAGAGGTTAATCAGATTTTCATATTTACTCAATGTTTTTTCAATCGCAGCAGCATAGAGGATGTCATAACAAAGTATGCACAGCAAACTCCTCAGGAAAGGGCTAAAAGGTACCTGAGTTCAGTATTTTTACTATTTATTACCTACCTAATTAGCAGAAACTCTACATGATAGAAATATACTAACTGGCATTCTTTCTTTTGCTGAACAGGAAGTTGGAGAGCTTAGAAGTATGCCATACTAACTAATATTTTTTAAAAATGTCATTTCTCTTTACTTAGTATATTAAGGTTAAGAATTATCTGACTAGTTTCCTTTTGTTCTCAAAAGGCCCTAAAGAAGACATTCAAGAAACTAGATCATGATGTCAATATTCAGGACTTTTTAGGCTCAGGGTAAATTCTGCCATCTTATATGTTATATCAAGAAATTGAAATATACAACAGCACAAATGTCTATTTCAAAGAAAGATTCTCACTCTGTAATGCTTTTGAATCTATTGCAGGGGTCAGACTGTTGAGGTACACATTTCGATTCAAAAGGATGATATAGCAGCTTATGCAATTTCTTGTTTCCTGCTTCCTGTGCCTTTGTGTTCAGATGCTGATTAAGTCAATTGTTTGGCAGGAATTATCGAGCCATCTTGGTGCTTTGCAATGTCAAATGGCAGATGTCGAAAAGCGCCTCAGGTAAATAGCTTCGATTCTTCGAATAACTTGAGATGTTCCACAAATTATCTACTCCCCATAGGATAAAAATGCAATAAGTACGCATAATGTGTCTAAATCTTTTCCATTGAGTGCTGAATTCAATAGTGGTTTGGTGGCATATGATCTTAAAAGGGCCCCTTCTTTAGACAAATATTGCATTGATGGCAGAAATCGTTGTGGATTCTGACAGATAATGGGCAGAAAAGGGGATTAAGGGACATGAATAACAATGTTGCATGTTGTTCTTCAGTTATTGGAGCGATCCCGAGAAGGTTGAGAATATTGACCATATAAGAGCGATGGAGCAATCTCTCAAAGAATCTCTGAATCGCATCCGGATTCATAAGGTACATAATATTCGTTAACCTTCTAATTAACTTCAGCTGATCCTGTTGCCTGATTCACTATATAATAATATCTGCAATGTTAATGTCAATTAATTATTTTCAGTAATACAAATACTTATTACTCCAAATGATTCCATTTTGTGACTTGTATGTATCTCTATAGGAGAACTTTGCAAAGCAGCATCTGATGAGCCTACAGTGTGCAGCTGCTCAGGTAAGAAGTTTCAGCTTCAGAGTTTCAGAATTCAGATGTGCACTAGCAGGTTTCGGGCTCAGACATCTGATCAAAGCATTGTTCTTTGCCAAATTCAGTTCCAGAACGACATGAAGCTCCCACTAGGACTAACAGGTGACCCGAACACTTCATCGTGGTTCCATGGCGGCGGCGGCGCAGAGGCGCAGCAGCCAATGATGCTACCTGAAGACCCCAGCTTGCTCCATCAGAGGTGAGATCGAGTTCAAGATGCATATGAACAGCTCAGAAACCTCACAAACTACCATGAATTCAACTTACTGAACTAATGTGCAAAAGGCTTGTGTATATTCGTATTAAGAAGGAAAAAAAATAAGTAGAAGAATTCAGAAGCTACCATGAACTGAATTTACTGACAAATGCATATATTGACTTCAGAAAATTCAGAAACCTGCACTAATGAGAAAATTGGTAGTGGAATTCAGAAGAATTTACTGACAAATGCATATTCTGAATTCAGAAAGATTCAGATACCTGACAAGCTGTGATGAACTGACACAAGAAAATGTTGTTGTTGCAGAGACATCGGGTGCTCAGCGAGCACGTCGTTGCAGAGCTACCCGGGCTACTTCAGCATGGGCAAGCAGTCCACCGACAACGCCGGCGGCGGCGAGCAGCACCACCACGCGGCGGTGCAGCAGCAGCCGGAGTTCAGCCAGGCCGACTGCCTGACGTCGCTGCAGCTCGGCGCGCAGTTCCCGTACCCGTCGGCGTTCGACAACGCCGGGCTGCTCAGCGACCGGCTGTTCGACAACGCGGCGGCGGCGGCGGCGGCGATGGACTTCGGCGGCCACTACGACCTGCCGAGGCCCGGCGACGAGGCCAGCTTCCAGAACTGGGCGTCGGCGGCCTGCGGCGCCACCATGTATGATCATCAGCAGCAGCAGCAGCAACAGCAGCAGCCTGCCCAAGTGAGTTCCAAACTGGACTAGTATCATTTTTCTTTTCTTTTCTTTTTTACTCTAGCTTCTGTTTCATGTTAACTTTCCTCACATTTTTTATATAAAAAAAGTTACTCTCTCTCCGTTTGATATTATAAGTCATTTGACTTTTTTCGAAGTTAATTTTTTTTAAAAGTATAATCAAGTTTATAGAAAAAATATAGCAATATTTTTCAATACCAGACAAACATCCTATCAAAATATATTTAGCATTAGATTTAATAAAAAATCACTATGTTTCTCTTTAAACTTGGTTAAACTTAAAGAAATTTGACTTAAAAAAAGTCAACATGAGAAACGGACGGAGTGGCTTTCATCAATTTTATAAATTTAAGTATACTCCCTATGTTTCATATTATAATTGCTTTGACTTTTTTCCTAGTCAATTTTTTGAGGTTTGATTAAGTTTATGGAAAAAATTAGCAACATTTACAACACCAAATTAGTTTTATTAAATTAAATGTAACATTGAATATATTGTGAGGATATGTTTGTTTTGGGTTGAAAATGTTGCTATATTTTTCAATAAACTTGATCAAACTTTAAAAAGTTTGACTAGAAAAAAGTCAGAGCGACTTATAATATGAAACGGAGGGAGTATTTTGCAAAATGGTGAATATTATATAACCATGAAAAATTATTGTGTCAGAGATCAGAGTAGCAACAGTGAAGATATCTTTTCAGAATATCCATGATATGAACTTGAGCAACTTCAAAGATTTTCTGATTATGTAAAAAAAACATTTTTTTTATTTAAGAAAAATATAGTTACGAAGAAACTTGTGTAGCTAATCTTCTTTTCAGCAACAAAATGCAAGGCAATGTTTTCTTTAGCTCTTAATCTTGTAGTTCGTTGTTCAGATTATGACTGAATCTCTGACCCCCATCAGCTCCCTGCAGCAGCAACTGTAGAAGCACCTTCATTCAATCATCCCTCACCACACCGGCAGCTCATGATTTGATGATCCTCTAGTGAAATTGGAGAGCTCTTTTTCGCTACATCGAAAGACATTATCATTGCTGCTAAATTTTTCGATCACACTCAATTCAGAAACTTGTCATCTCAGCAGTGCGTCTTGGAAAGGGAAGAGATATGGTGTATAGAGGAAATTGGATTTTGTCAGTGTAAAGTATTAACTGACTGTAGCCAATTAAAATTGTAAAATGTGATGAGTTATTACCTCTCCTGTAAAGAATGTTACAATTTGCCATGAAAAAAGAAATGGGCATATGCTATTGCTATCATTGTTGCATAAAAGTAGGTTATGAGTTAGGAAGAAAAAAAGACAAAGAACATTATCATTTTATTTATGACCCCTGAAAAAATAATTCAGTGTTTGGTTTGTGATCTGGCACAAGAATAACAAAATAGCCACCTTACATGTTGTCATGATGTAAATCTACAAAATGTGAGTAATAGAACAGCATTATACATGCTTATATTGTGTATTGTATTGTGCATTCATAAAGAGGAGTACTGAATGAAACTTAAAGTTCAGTGCAATATACCTCGAATTATTGAAGGTTGTATGATTAGTTTGAGAATAGCACCCTTTTTTTTGTTCTTCTGTTTGTGGCATATATATAATATAGCTGCGCTAAACCACGTCATTCCAAAGTACTTTCACAAAAAAAACATAATTAATTGGAATGAAATGATTTAGGGAATGCCTAATGTAAATTCGAACGGATGGCGTGTGACATGATTTGAATTGTGTATTTCTTCTCTGCTTATATAAAATGGCAGCATTGAGATCAGTCTAAAACTGTTGTGTACTTTCAATCTTATTAGGTAAAAAAATACAGAGGATTGTATAAAATATTTCTCAGATTATTATTTAGAAAATGTACTATCATATTCATGAGAGGTCGAATACTACATGTTATCATTACTCTCTAGGCCAAGTGGAATCTAAGTATCTAATGCTACAGTGTGAGTAGAAACTAATCCTTTGTCTTTGCCCAACTTCGAATAGATATTTACAAATAGAGAATAAAAAATTGTTTCTCCTTTTTGTGTTGGAGTTTTACTTAGACTTATTGCCTCATCGTATTTGATTTTTGTTTTACTTAGACTTATTGCCTCATCGTATTTGATTCTTTTTAGCATCTTGTTGAGCGAGCAATAATTATGGTTGTAACTTCTTCGAAGCAAAAGCAAGATATTATTCTATTATATATAAAAAATATATTTTTGACTTTTGATGAGAAACAAATTAACACAGTAAAAAGTCTACAATAGTGCCTTTGGGGCCACCGTACATAGAGATGAAGAGGAGAAATTTCCGTCTTACCCCTGCTTATTCTATCTAAACTAGGGGCATTATGGGACAAGATTGTTCTAAATATTCTATGGAAACAGTATATTCCTATGGCCACATCTTTCTATGTTTCATACACATTTTGTGACGCCCTAAGGGCTAGGCTGGCCCCACATTCTACTTTTGTAGAATATCTGGTAGTGTCTTTTTGCCTTTTGTTGAGGATAATATATTAGGTTTCAGTTGGTAGTAGAACATTTTTTTTGTGAAGCCCAGCATGACATAATAAAGTGCCAACAACCTTTTGAGCACCAAGAGATTCCAGCAAAGTGTGCATAACAACGGCCAGCATGGCCAGCTAAGTTCAACATCAACACCACTTCTCCATAACTTAATTATATTTATCAGTTCATCACAAGCAGGTGGCAGTTGAAGCTCTTGCACCAATTTGACAACCTAACATGAACACCATCAGTGCTAATATGAACTCATTAGAGAGCATTATGACAACAAGGCCAAGCAAATAATGATGCCCAGGAGAGGACAAAGAGACCAATTAGCATCAGTCTTAACAACTTGATTGAGACCAGATGCTTATTTATACTCAAGGATACACCTCTGGCTCTACATACAAAAAAACCAGCCTGTTAAAGTTCCAGGATAACATGTGATCTGCTCTATTAGAATGTTGCTCACAGAGATAGAATATACAGAGATAATTTAATCATGATGTGATAATTTATAACCAAATGACAATTGTATGAAGAAAATATCCTGCACTCAACCCTACCAAAAAAGAAATTTTTTTTCTTACAGATTGAATGAAGAAATGTAGCTGTACAGGCATGCACCTAGCTATCCACAACCCCACTTAGATTCTTCCTCCTCAAGATCATTATGCAGCTTATAATCTGAGCCTTAGGACCATAAGAGGGGTACTGTTTCATTCTTGTGATGAATTTATTGGTGGTAAAGAATTGGAAAGATGGTGATGGATGCTCAATTTCTGAATTGTACAAGGACTGGAACAAGACAGGGGAAGGATGGACACAAGATTACTCTGTATATTTATAGTACTGCGAGGGCACTGTAACTAGAGAGGGAGAAACAGATGGAGGAGTTTGTAGATGTGTCATGGAGTTCTGAGCAAGGCTTGGGGAATACTAATTCAGAATATCCATGCACATTTGAACAAGTCCAGGCACTGGAAGGAGCCAAATCGGCTATAGAGAAATTGAGATTAGAAAGGCATATAGCACTAAATGGATCACCCTCGATTCCTGATAGAACTCCAGCAACAGAGATGTTTGTCCCCTCCATATTCTTAAGGGTGATTTGATCTATCACCGGAAGAAAAGATGGATCAAAATGGTCATCTGGGTGGCTTGACCAGTTACCGGTAAACTCAATGGCGAGATGGACACTATCCATTACTACATCTGCGACGACAACTTCCGCTATGTAACCTCCACGTCCCGGAGTAGTCCTGAAGGAGATGCCTTTACTGGAACTGCCGATTCGAATGTGATCAACATGAATATCTGAAATTCCACCAGACATTTCACTACCAATTGCAAGAGCAGCTCCAGACGATGCTTGCAGATCAACCCTACTGATATGAATGTCTGAGGTTGGCCTTCCAAAAGAAATTCCGTAATTGTCCCACCCGCTTTTGAGTGATATGGCATCATGACCAACACTAATGCTGCTATCCTCAATGCACACGTTGGAACATGAATCTGGAGTAAAAGTATGGCCATTAGTAAATTATAAAGAAAATATTCCCATGGCAGTAAAGTAGTAGATATCAATCTAATCATGGAAAAAAGAATAAAGATTATATAGTTCATGGCTCTGGAAGGATCTTTTCCGTAAAACAAAAATGGTTTGAACAATAATACTACTTAAACCCATGATTTGATAGCAGAAGTCAGAACATTGTGCATGCAGTTTAAGACAACTCATGTTTCTATGAGATCTCAATCTTTCTTTTGAGCATGTGCTCCTAGTTTGCAAATTGGCAAGCGCACCACGGAAGTTGAAAGGTCTGTTGGTTTTCTCATATTGCCTCTACCACTTCATAGCATCAACAAATTACAATGTATGAATATGAAACAATACATCAGCAGTAGATACAATCATACCTGGAACTATGCCATCAGTGAGTGGAGCATCCAATGAGGTCTTGATTGTGACATTGTGGACCTTTACATTGCTGGGGAAAAAAAACAATATGCATTACAGCATTAGTGCACATGCAAATAGATCCCCCAAATCACACCTCATGTAACAAGTTAATAAATGCCAATTCACCTGCAATACACTGGATGTATGCTCCAGGCTGGAGAATTTAAAAATGTTAAGTTTGAGATTACAACTTCTTCGGAATGCAGAAACTCCACAATATGAGGTCGGCTATGGTTAAGCTCATGGGAGTGAAGCCAATCCCACCATACCGAGCCCTGACCATCAATAACTCCATTATTCCCTGAAATAAGTGATGGAACTATTATTAAACTGCAAAACAAGTATACTGCAGCTCAAATCTGAAGCAGAAAAGAAGTTACCAGTAATGACAACATCACTTAAATTATATCCATTTATTAAACTGCGGTGTCTAGGACCTGGAAGATCTAATCCTTGCCCATAAGATGGCAAAGGTTCCACAATCGGCCACTGTGATGGATCCTACAGTGAGAAAAATTGCATAAAGAATTAGGCATTCTTAATATTTAAAGACGAAGAAACCTTGACATAAGAACAAAACAACGATGAAACCTTAACATAAGAACAGGGCATTGTTTTCTACCATCTGAAATACATTATAAGTAAAACGAAAAATGCCATTCTTTTCTATTGAATTATGCACAAGTTAAAAAATATGGTCAGGCGACATGCAATGAATTTATATATAACAGATAAGCAATCGCAATCCATGTGGCTGCATTGAAGCAGTGTGTCCATGTTTTGTTCATATATAATTAAAGAGCACACCTTGACTTCAAAACAATGCAAAAGGAAATTGTCTCTTCTTATCTACTGCCCCTGACACCAATAGCTAAGTTTCACCTTCCAAATACTCCATGTCTGCATGAATTTTGGAACGAAACAACTAAAAGCCAGACCTAACTTGAACCCTACTGATCGGGATATCTTTACAAGATTTTTCCTCCTATCCATCCAAAGCAACTACAAAGAACATGAACCAGACCCCAAAATTAGCCTTCCCCCATGGCTTGTGACCTCACCTTACACATGTCAAAATCACTACTCCATCAGGTATGTCCACCAACCATATCCAAACAAACTAAGATGATCTGATCGTGGCGATATACCTATCCTAACCACTAACAATTCAATGCAAATGCAGCTGAAAATGATGTGCATATCCTCGCATTCATGCCACCAGAACCTACATCTCACAACATATAATCCTACTACCCATCCCGAATCGCGAACGCAAACCACATCAATCTGTACAATCTGTAACTACTACTACCTTATCAAATCCTACTACCTTAACAAATCCATGAACAGGAACAAAAGTTGTAGCCAAAATTAGTGCCATCCATTTATCGATCCATTCACAATTACCTTTGTGCCGATGATGACGGCCTCTTCCTCGAGGAAGAGGGTGAGGTGGCTGGTGAGGTTGAAGCTGCCAGTGAGCCACCGTCCCTTGGGCACGTACAGCTGCGCGCCGCCCTTGTCGGCGAAGGACCGAGCGTAGAAGACGGCGTTCTGGAAGGGCAGGGTGTTGAGCGTCTTGCCATCGCCGACGGCGCCGAACTCGGTGATGGTCACGCTGTGAGGCCGCGACCCCGGCGCCCATCGCCACCCATCGCCATGAACCAACTCAACAACGGCCAGCAACACCAATGCTACGACCACCTGAACGCCATTGCCATGAACAACAATTAGCAACCATTGGGCAACAAATCACAACATTTCCTTCCAGATCAAAACCTCCAAAATTCGGAAGTAATACAACTCGCGACAATCTTAAAAAAAACAAACTATCAACCAGAAGCAAAGAAAATATATACCATTTTCTCTGAGAGAAAGATCCCCAATTGGTTACAGATCACATGGAGAATCAAAACCCAAACCCATCAGTCACGCATATAAGGATAGAAAAAAGAAGATTAGCAGCAACATCAAAACCCCCCTCTTTTCTCGGAAAAACAAGAAGCAACCAAAACCCATCACAGAAAAAACAGATGAAATCGTCGCAGCATATTACCAGTCTTCTCTTCATCAAGTCCCCCTCTCCCCTCCTCGCGGCAAGAGAGGGAGAGGGATGGGAGAAGACGAAGCAGCAGAGAAGAAAAAAATCCACGCGCCTCCGCCGCAGGCAAAGAAGAGACTTGAAAAAACCAGATTTTTCCGGCGAAATTCCGGCCAAAATCCGCGGCGGAAGAAGAGGAGGAGAAGCTGCAGCGCCGCAGCAGCAGCAGAGAGAAGAGAGAAGAGAATAGAAGGCGACGCAGAGTTGGTTTTTTTTTTACTAGTAGCACTTGGTTTTTGATCGAGTCTCTGCGCCTCCTCCTCTCCTATTATTGGGCAGAATAATCATTCAAAAACAGAAACTTTTTTTTAAAAAAAAATCAAAATTGAATTGGGGTGGCACAGGGGAAAAAAATGGAAGGGTGTGATGAGAAAAGATTGTGTATTTGGTGTACAAAGCTCATCACACTCATACACACTGCCTCTCTGTATTGGAATGAGCTGGCATTTTCAAGGAGGGAGGGATGGATGGATGACTTGACTGCTTCCAGTGGAGGAGAGAGGTTTTCAAAGGAAAGAAACAAATGTGTGCAAATATTCAATTGGGATTTGGGAGGTAGAATTTGGAAGGGATGAAATGAGCCCAATTATTTGTTTCCCCTTTTTTTTTTTTGGTTAGTATGGTTGTTTGCTGAGTTGGCATTTGATAGGGAGGTGAGAGAAGTGAGAGTATGGCCTGTTCACTTTGATGCCGTTTTTAACCATACCATTTTTTAAGTAAAGTTATCAAAATTTTAACTACGTTTAGTTTGTTGCCAAATTTTAGTAAGTATATATGAAATCTTGCCAAAATTTAGCAACCTTGCCAAAATTTTAGCAACATTACCAAAATTTGGCAATGTCAAAACTTGTTAAGATTGAAAATAGTAGCAAAGTAAACAAGCCATGTATCTTAATGTGTGGGGGCTTTTTGCACCTTGACCACCTAGGTAGGATAATACTATTCATTTTTTGACTTTGTGATGATGTAATAATGTGGATTGTATTTAAGAAGAAGGAGAAAATACAACCGAATATTGCAACTAGAATTGTCCATTTTCTAGTTTTTTCTAATAGACACCAATAAAGGGCATAAATTCCACAAAGTCTTATTAACATAAATATATACTTGATATGTAAAAATTCCTACAATGTTGTTTAATTTTCAGTAAAGATTCAGCTTTGTCATACTCCTACTTTGGTTATAATTTTTGCTATTACTCAAAGTATAGGTACAAAAGGTGTAAATTTTCACAAATGTACCCAAACAATTCAGTAGGGCCCAGTGAAGGCCTCTAAGCTTGAAGTGGACCCACATGGCAGCTGGGCCAATCATGGTGACAGGTGGGGCTGTGGTCAGTGTGTGAGTCCATGTGCTACATCTGAGAATTGGACTATCCAATACCTTCCTTGGATGCTTTGGAGTTTGGAGTTCATCACATTAACTTAATCCAGCCAATATTTTTATGTTTTTGTCTAATGCTCTCTGCAGCGACAAAAGCATGTTGGTTTAGACTTTTCAAGGTCAGTTGACACGGCATGACTTGAACAGCCTAATTCTTTTGTATAATCATTTTTTAATTACACAAGTATATATAATATTTTTAAGGCTTGTGGCTAAAAAAAATCATATCCGTACATACGCACATATCATAAAAAATGATTATAGTCAAAATTATAATATTCTTTTGTGACCAGAGGCAATACTGGCTACTGATCAATGAAAAGAAATGAGAGAAGAAGAAAGGACAATAGGGAACTTTAATTTACGATGAGTAATCCAGAGAGACATCATCATCATGCCCTTCTAATTGACCCCCAAACTGTCAGTTAATTAACACCATAAGTTTGTGTGAGAATGTGAGGGGATTTTCAATTAAAGTGAACCTTAAACTTAAATTAATTGATGACTGCAATCGGCCTGTGCTGCATTCTGTATTCTGCATTTATTGATTTTTTTTTAAGGTGGAGAAAGAAAGGCTAGTGATCGAGTGACCTACATGGACACATGATCCAGCTACGTATGCCAACTGCAACATGTACAGAATACGGTGGGATGAGCATAGTTGGTGAGCCATAATTGTTGCAAAGAATGTTCCTTGATTAGGGCATAACATGTCTGACGTAGTACGAAAAAAATAGCCAGACAAATAGGAGTTGCACGGGTAAAAACTTGGATCTGTTTTTTTTTTATCAGAACTTGGATCTGTTTTTGAAGCTATTACTGCAATGTGCACGGCCAATATTTCTACATTTTAATCAATAATATCACTGTTAACTATCTAGATTTGTTTTTATAACAACATTTCTAGTTTTGTCAACAGAATTTATAGTTTTATTTATTGTATCTTCATATAAAGTTATAAAAAATAAAGGTGTGTACCAAACTTAATTAGTTTATTTTTTTTAACAAAACGAACTTAGTGGATCTGTTTATTTTTACAAGGCAAGTATATTTAAGATTCAAAATTGTAAAGAATTGTTTTTGAGCAAACCGGCATAAGAAGGTGACAATTTCATTAAATAGAGAAGTAGTATAAAATCTTTTTGTACAACTATCAAAGCACTAAACCAAGGAAAAGGCCTAAGGTAAAAATTGGGAGAGACGCTTTACCACCCAAAATTACCAAGTTATAAGGAGGGATAAAGGAAGTGCACCCCTGGTCGGCTGGTCCTCTACTTAGGCTGTGTTCTTCTATACGAAAGTTGTTCTAAAAATCATATTAATTTATTTTTCAAAATAGCTAATACTTAATTAATTATGTGTTAATGAGTCACTATGTTTTGCGTGTGTGTGTGTGAGATTAGTTCCCGACATCACATGCCGAACACAGCCTTAGGTAACCCTAGACTGGTGACGAGTGCTTCTCACAAAAATTGTAAAGAATGATGCAGTTAGATTTATACTTGAAAATTTACTTCTTTGTGATCACACATTTACCCCTTTTTTTCAATTTTCTTTTGTAATTTTTATTGATTGCTCCATGCAGAAACAAATATTTGCCATTCTAGTAAATATTTATCATGCCGATAATTAATAACAAACATTTGTGACTGATCAGTGTCTACTTATGCAAGTGGAATTTGAATAATGCAATATGGTATATTATACATTTGACTCACTAGGAGTATATATCATAAGGTAGAGGTAATATCAAATTTTGCTAGGCATGTGGAACAGTAGAAGTACTGAAGTAGTAGTTACCCCCATATATATTTCGGTGGCTATTTAATGTGCCTGATGTTCATCACGCCATATATGACGGTACATGTTGGAATTTAGACACTCTTCTGAAGGGTACAAACAGAACATCAGAACATGCAAGCATATATTTGCTCTTGGACTGCAAGAACGAATTACACATATGCAGTGTTCCTGTCAGATGATACTTTACTTTGCATCGAACTTTAACCAACAAAATGTATTCAATTATTAATTAATTAAGTAAAATGAAAAAAAACAACACCAGATTCGCCACATGTAAAGTACTTTAAGTATACCTTACAAGTTTGTCTATTTGCATAAATATAAAAAAAAGACGAATAGGCAAACATATTACAAAAGTTAACTACACCATATATTAAAAAGACAGTAATAGCCAATGACATATGTTTATCTTCAACTCTGAAGTATATACGTATATATAGAACATGAAACACACGCCAATCCGCTTGACAGCGAAACTTTGATCATGACCGTGTCATCCCACAATTATATTTTAAACTCACTAGATATTTTGTATAGATATGTAAATATAAATACAGAAAAAGATTATCTAACCATATATAGGTGATATCGACTTCATCAATATCAAGATACACCTGCTTAATCTTTGTTCGATCATAGGTGTAGGGTACGCACATGCATTTGCAGGAGTGAGTATGCGCGCGTATATATGAGCGTCCACTTTTGTAGTGTGCTTGAAATGAGTGTTTATAGATTTATATTTCTTTCGAATCATATATATTCTCTTGCAATAAATAAATATATAAAAAATCAAATGGAAGCTTACAAAGTTAACATATTTATAAGTTAGTACAACGCACGTGTAAATTTCTCGATTACTCCTACTTAAGTGTGTATCTATACTTTACTATTAAAAGACAGTAGTGGTGGTGACAAGTCTATCATCACCACCACCACTGTCATGATATTATGATTTAGGTGAGTCATCCGTACTATATAGGCTCCAACTCTTTAATTTTTAAGCATGATATTTTTGTTTTTCTTTAGGATAAAAGGTCTTGTTTGGTCTTGTTTCAATCAATCGAGAAAAAAATTATACAAGTACTTAATTTTGCTATTTTTAGCTGTAGAGAGAATATGATGAAGAGAGGAAGAAGCAAACAATGGGAGGTGAGCGAAGCCAGGCTAGCCAAAAAAAAATCCACCACACGCCGCCAGACACGCACCCACCCGCCACTGACTCCCCGGGCTCACCCTGCTCCTCATATGCCACGGGCCCACGTGTCGGCCTGTGGGTGGCTGAGCCCCCCGGCCCGGGAGGTCACGTCACTCATGCTGTGGGTCCCACCCGGAGTGTGAGGCTGGGCCCACCATCCGACAGCTATGCGCTGAATGCATGTGCTGACACGTGGCACGGGACCCACGGGCCCTGCCTCCCTGATTGTTTCAAACTTTCAATCCTACGTGTTCCTTCTCTTTACCGTTCATCATCAGTCACAAGAGATTGGAGTAGAAGGGTATTATTATTTTGTGATGAGATATTAATATGTAAATAAATAAATGGAAGATTTGTTTTTTCTAAAACATACTCCGTCTGTTAAGAAAAAAAAAACTGAAATCCTGATGTGTAAAGCGACGAGCCACTGCTCGGTGACGATACTCATTGTTGAACGTGCAGTAAATTTTATATTATTATTGTAGAAATAAAAATAGATTTTTTTATAATAAACACTCACTTTAGTTATATTTGCATGGGTTCTAGAACTTTATGGCTCTAATGTTGCACACACTCTACCTTGCGGGTATTTTCGAGAAATTTGGTCAATGGATACATTGCCTACCACATTAAAGAAAGTTAAATATATCTGTGAGCACATGTACTGAAAAATATATTAATATATACATAAATAAGTAGCAATAAATAGCATATGAATGATAGGTATAAATTTTTCGCATGTGCCAAATATACGCGGTGATCATGTAGTAACTTTCATCCAAACAAGGTTCCAATTAGGTGAAAAAGACTTTGATAACTGGTAAGTAATTGGTCGAGAACAGCAGGGCAGTCAATTCAACCTACACATCCCTGTCGATCTTCCCATAGACAATCAAACACATGCAAGATGATGATGCATGATGGATGGATGCAGCTGGTTGTTAGTAGTCAATTTATCACTTAGTTGGGAGATAAGATATGATGATTAATAAAATTTTGTCTCTACTTGTGTGTTTTGCGGATTTTCCTCTTCCAATTTATATTTTTTTTCCTCGAAAATATCAGGATTGCTTCCATGATCCATATATATAGTTGACATCTGATTTTGAGAATACGCAGAAAATATGTAGAGGAGGACAGAGGAAACAAATAGAGGTAAAATTCCTCACAGAAAAACAAGATGTCAAATTACAACACGATTTTATCATATAAAAAAGTAAAAGATAAATGGTAAGTAAATATTTAGAAATGGATGTTGGTATATCTATGCTTGTTTTAGCTTTGGATTTTAATCCCAAAACCATTTTGGACTTTGAAGTTTAACTTTAATAATAGTTTCAAGTAGTTTTTTTTACTAGTCTTCTTATAATAATAAAAAGAGAGCCAGGCAACAAAAGTAAACAAAAACTAAAAAAATAATTGTAAAGATCAAAATGAGCTTCGGACCATAACAAGTTAACAACTCAATCAATCAGCTTGGGATTTTATGCGATGGATTATTTGCTCCACACCTCCAAAAATATGTATTTAGAAAATACCATCTTCTACACATAGCATTTGTTCTAACTGACTGTATCAGTCAAGTTTATTTCTCGAAATATTTAATCTATCCACATATAATCAGGTAGATAATCCATTTAATCTGTTTCAAATATGCTAATATTGGTTGCATATTTCATGACCTGTTGGCTTTGCTGCCAGTAAGCTTTGCCAGCTAGCCATTAGCTCCTGAAACAAGAGCTTAGCTGGCAAGCTCACACATATGGACAGAGTTGAGACAAATTCAGGCAGCAAAGCCAACCACTAGTAGCCATTAGCACCTGAAACCAAAGCTGGCAGGCTCACACATATGAACAGAGCCGAGACAAATTCAACCGGAAGGTTTGACTGATTTAGCCGCTAAAATCCCCTGTCCATGCATATGAATGCATTGACTATAGCGAGCTAGCTAGCTCTGTCTCTTTGTCCATCCACTGGCTTCATCGTCTACCCAATATTTAAATTTAAATTTTAAATTTTAGAGTTAATTTTAGAATATTTTTGACCTGGTAAATTTTGTTATTAACTTTTATATTGTCAAGAACATATATAATTTTTTTATAAATTATGTTTTATCACTAATAAACCGTTTTAGGGGGTGTTTAGACCCACTTAAAATTTTACACCATGTCACATCAAACGTTTGAATACCTATATAAAGTATTAAATATAGGCTAAAAATAATTAATTGCATAGATTGCGACTAATTTGCGAGACGAATCTTTTAAGCCCAATTGCTCTATGATTTGACAATGTGGTGCTACAGTAAACATTTACTAATGACGGATTAATTAGGCTTAATAAATTCGTCTCGCAGTTTACTGACGGATTCTATAATTAGTTTTTTTTATTAGTGCCCAAACATCCCATACGACACCCTATATAATACCTAATGTGACATGCCAAAACTTTAGATCTAAACACCCCCTTAGCTTATAATCATCAGTTCATAGACAACCGATGAGGCCCCTCCAATCGAATCCAGCGTAGGTTTCGGCCAGCGCGCCATGTACATTCGACTGCATCGCATGCGTCGGGAACAATATTATGATCATAAATATTGTATTCTGCTACATGTCTACAGTATACAGTGTAATTGGTGTACATATGGATGGATGCTGAATTGCTGCCAACAACGTACAACCTCTCATTTAAGTGCTACCTGCTGCAAATCGTGTTGTAACTTTTGATGTACAAATCATTCACATGTCCATCGATCCATCGATCGATCTCTTCACCACCTCCTGCGTTTACATGTCTGATGATCACTCAGAGAGTAGGCAAAGTTTCAGAACTCTCTGTTCAGACTTCAGAGCTTTAGTTCCCACACAAAAATTGCACAAAGATTTCAGACTTCAGAACTCTCTGTTGCCCTGGACTGTAGGCCCTGTTTAGTTCCCACACAATTTTACACCCTATATATCACATCGAATGTTTGAACACCTGCATGAAGTATTAAATATAGTATAAAAAATAACTAATTGCACAGATTGTGACTAATTTGTGAAGCGAATCTTTTAAGCCTAATTGCTCCATGATTTAACAATGTAGTGCTATAGTAAAAATTTGCTAACGATAGATTAATTAGGCTTAATAAATTTGTCTCGCGGTTTACTGACGGATTATGTATTTAGTTTTTTTATTAGTGCCCAAACACCCCATGCGACACTCTATATAATACCCGATGTAACACGATAAAACTTTACATCCCTAGATCTAAACACCCCCTTGCTACTATGCAAGTTTCAGAATTTTGTTCCAAGCAAAACTTTTGTGTTTCTAAAATAGTCCCATCGTTTCACTTACAACCGATCATAAGCTGTAACACTTATTGGCGATATAAAAATATAATTTATAAGTAAAACTTTTATATGCATGCTCTTAATTAGCGACTTAAAATTCAACCCTTGAAAATAAACTACAATGAAAAAACATCAAAATCAACTCAAAATTAAGTTTTAAAATTTACAAATGGAGAGGGGTTCTGTATGAAGTGTACGCGAGATTACTACTATATCTTTCCCAAAATACTCGTTGTATTGAGCTTTTATTTGTAACATTTGACCATTCGTCTTATTCAAAAGATTATGAAATTATTATTTATTTATTTTACTTACTTTATTATCAAAAGTACTCTAAATATGACTTATCTCTTTTATATTTGCAATAATTTTTTAAATAAGACGAATGGTCAAAAGTTACAAGAAAAAGTCAAAACGACATCTAATTTAGGACGAATGGAGTAAGTAGTAGCAGGGTCGCAGCAATAGTACATGCATTTGTTTTTTTTTAAACTAAGGCCTTGTCTAGATAAAAAAAAATTTGGCCCAAAACGTTACATCAAATGTTTGGACACATGCATAGGGTATAAAATGTATGAAAAAAACCAATTGCACAATTTGCATGTAAATTGTGAGACGAATCTTTTGAGCCTAATTACGCCATGATTTGGCAATGTGATGCTACAGTAAACATTTGCTAATGACGGATTAATTAGGCTTAATAAATTTGTCTCGCAGTTTACAGGCAGAATCTGTAATTTGTTTTGTTATTAGCCTATGTTTAATACTTCAACTGTGTATCCGTATACTTCAAAAACTTTACGCTATAAGTACTAAACACACCCTACACCGGCAGGCAGAGGCCGCCAATTACATGCATTTGTTTCAATCAGTGAAACTGTAGCTAGGACGATATATAAGGCTGCAGCAAGTTATCAGGGAACTGCATCTACATGCAGGAAGACCCAAGAGCAGTTGACTGAATGTACTACTGGTGAATCTCGTCTTTTCTTTTCTGCAGAACTTGCGAGCCGCTGCAGATGGATGGATGATCCTTTTTCGCATGTTAATGTTTCCAGAGAAATGACAAGGAACAACTGACATGTATAGTAAGCTATAGCTACTGTCTGATTGGGACTTCATAGTTAGATCGATCATCTGACACACCATGTTCAATATACTCAACCATTTTTCACTTTCATTTTTCAGAGAAGAAGGGTCAATGCATTATGCATGACTGAAAAGCATTACAGCTTTCAGAGTAGCAGCTATTTGTGTCGAACCATGCCATGGCAGAAAAAGGCCCGTGCAAATCTTTCAGTGCTTCAGCCCAAAGCCCAAATATCTGTTCAAGGACCGGCCCATCAGATCAACCATGTACTGAAAAAAAAATGTGAAAATGAGGCAAAATACAACTGAACTCTGAACTTTTCTCTTAAATAGTTACATGTTCTGAACTTTCAACTGGACTGTATATGCAAACTTATCAAATTACTCTGAGATGTACTTTCACTAACGGCTTCTTTTCCAAGCACAAATTTTCGGTTCATACATACACAAGTTCAGTTCAGCGTGAGGTGAGAAATTAACTCTGAATTTGGCCAAAAGAGTGTCAGAAATCAAAGGAAAGAACAATTATAGATGGTTTGATGAGACAGAATTTGCTTCCGAGCTAGACACGCAACTGTTTGCTTGTACAGATCGAACCTTTCAAACACGTCGGGTGGATTCAGGCATGCACAGCACAGCAGTCTGAAAAAGGCAGCAACCAAGCCAAGCAGGTATCTTTTGGCTTGCACCAGTGGAATATCCAAGCTTAATTGCCAGCATAATAGACTAGCATCCCGAATATACCCCTGCCATGGCACTGGGATTGACAGAATTGCCCCCTGCTTAATTTTTTTTGTAGGATGACATTTTTTTTCGAAAGTAATTAGTACTAGATTGATTGTCAGTTCAGTCTCCCTTGAAACCACTGATGCACTGCAAATCTTCCTTGCATCCAAAATACAACGTTGCGCATACAAATTGAAAATTTTCGAACCTCGGAATCTTCTTTGAATTATGATGATCTATATGAAAATAATCCCGCTAATTAAAAGCCTGAAACAAGTGGTGGACCCAACGACATTGTTAAGCCCCGATCAACGAAGAACATTTGCTATTGCTAGTGAATTAGTGATCAAGGACTTTTTACATGTATTGGCAATGGGAGAACAATAGGATCGCTAACCATAGAGCCCGGGAGCCATCGACTAGCAAATTAATAAGCGCTAGCTCGGCCACTGGCTGAAAAAGAAAAGATTAAGCTGAAATCATATGTCAATATCTAATCCAATGTTCTGCATGCATCATCTAGCTGAAATATGAAGTTTACGGAATATTAGATTTCACCATGACAAATTTCAAAAAAATTGACTATGCAAAAAAAAAAATTAAAAAAAAACACAAAAGGTAAACATGAAATGGTAGGGGCAAATTCGTCCATCCACCCAAAACGCACGCCCTCCCCATTTTTAGGCGCCACCATCTCCGACGTGCTTAACGGCCAATGGGTGCCAACGGGGTGGCATCGGCGGCGGCGGCGGCCACGGCGGTGCTAGTGTACGTCGCGCTCTCCTCCTCCGGCGGCGGCGGGGAGGCGGCGAGGCTGCGGAGGCCGGAGGAGGAAGATGAAGAGGAATCCAAGAAGCGGTGGCCGGAGAGGGCGCCGGCGAGCTGGAGGGAGGCGGCGGCGGTGGCGGCGAGGACGGTGGGGTTCACGTACCGGGAGACGCTGGGGAGGTGGCCGCTCGGGGACATCGCGTTCGGGATCAGGCACTACATGCGAATCCAGGTGCGCATTTTGATTTTTTCTGCAAATGCAGTTGCAGACTCTGCAGTTGCATTTGCTCTTACCTGCTTGATTATCATTAAGTCTGGTTCGATTTGAGATTATGTTTATGTTTCAATCATGCATGAAGTCCTTGTTTTTCATGGTGATGAACTGATGATTGATGTGGGGGCTGCCTGTTAGTCTTGAGGAATCCATTGTGGTTGAAAGTAATAAAGATGAAAAGGTGGCTGATTGGGGTTTTGGGAAGTTGTGTGTTCCTGATTTCTGGGATCAATTCATGCATGATGGATTAATGCAAATTGCTTAACTGGTCATAAAGCTGATGTATGTTTGATTAAGGAGTAACTGTTCCTGAATGGCCATCTCCCTTATGTCCAAATTGATGGCTATTTACTCGATGGCAACCCAGAACTAGATAAATTGCTGTTGCATAAATAGCTCTGTTGAACTTCAGGTGAAGTAACTGCAGTTAGTTCAGGTTGTGATGATGCCTCTTATGGACATATCAATTCTGTTGAACATCTCAATCTCTGTCCCTATGTTCTCATGCAGAACTAGATAATGCTGCTGCATCAGCAACTCTGTTATGTTTAAGCTGCAGTAACTGTAGTAGAATTATGAAATATCCCATTTTGTTGTCTGAATGTCCATTTAAACTTTTAGTGGATTATTTATGAAAGGTGTTTAGCTCACATGTCATATACTTATATATATCCTGAAATTTGAAAAACTGCAATCGGTTCATTACTTTTTTGATTGACATATTTCTCTTGTGAACAATTCTTTTCAGGGCAATCTGCAGCACGAGTACACTGGTCGCAGTTGTGTGCCCCTAGAAGGCCCTGTAACAAGGCAGGAGCTGATTGCAATTCTTAGATATCTGAGACTCTGCATGTTTTTCGCGAAGAAGCCATACGAAGTGTTCCTGGAATTTGGTGGATATGGCCAGAGTGATATCCTCATAAGGAAATCAAAGGCAAGGGTATGTATCAATCTGATTCAAATTGTTGTTTTTCTTTTCTAGCTCAGGTTATGAATGGAGACATGCATTTTAGTGGAAACTCAGTGTTGTCATGCAGGTTATGAAGCCCTCATTCACAATTGTCCGCGATAAAAGTACTAAATCCTTCATCCTTTTCATTCGGGGCGCTACAAGTGTTAAGGATCGCCTGACGGCAGCGACTGCTGCAGAGGTTCCATTTCATCATGTGGTGTTAAAAGAAGGCCGTGTTTCTAATGTAGTTGTTGGCCATGTACATTGCGGAATGGTTGCAGCAGCTAGGTGGATTGCAGATCAGGCCATTCCCTGTCTCAGCAGAGCAGTTGAGCAATTTCCAGACTACAGAATTAAGGTGATTAATCAACCTTTTCTGAACCTCCATGGATGTGTTTTCCGTTTCCTGCAACAGGATGAATGATTTAGTTTGCGCAACTTAATATTGAATTGGCAAAGATGCAACACTGACAAGTACTGCAGATTACATGAACTATCCTTTTCTTGATCTTTGTAACAGTTACAGTTCACTGAATCATCCAAAGTTTCCTCTCTAACTCAAATTTTATCATTTCAGATCATTGGGCATTCAATGGGTGCCGGTATTGCAGCAATCTTAACATATATGCTACGTGAGAACAAGAAATTGTCATCATCCTCATGTATTGCCTTTGGACCAGGTACTAGTAGTAGTCTAGTGCTACATTTTTTTTTTTGGGGAATAGGAGTCTAGTACTACATTTGACTGTCTAACATACTGATACCAAGAAAAAAAATCATTGACGTCAATTTCCAATAATAATAGAATTGACTTTCTTGTATTGTTGGCAAAGTCCTTACACTGACATAAAGTCTCTAGTATTGCTGTATAGGAAGACAAAAATAGAAACAATTCTCTGTTAGAAGATTGTATTTGATCATATTCGTTTTCGGAAAGGCTTGCATGTAATGTTCTATTGTTCAGAGAAGAAATTGAGAATAAGTATATATGTTCAAAAACAACATTGGCAAAGTGATCCCAAGCAATAGAAATGCCAGACTGCTATATAATTGGCACGCAAAAGAATCATTAGTCTGACATTAAGGAACTAATATATATGTGAACAATTTCACTATCCCCTTGTTTGTTTCAACATTTTACTTTTTGATTGCCTTGTTTGCTACTTTATAGTACTACTAATAATAGATTAACATTTGGAACTGCTACTGTCCAGCTGCTTGCATGACCTGGGATTTGGCTGAGTCAGGCAAAGAGTTTGTGACCACTGTTGTCAACAGAAATGACCTGGTTCCATCATTTGGTAAAGTGTCAGCTGCCAACCTTCACACCGAGGTACCACACGCCTCAAAGCCACTTATCCTCGTGTAGTCATGTCTATCAGTAAGAACAATTAAATGTGTTTTTGCATTCTGTGGCTAACATGCATTTGGTTACCCATGTTAACTTTGAACAAATAGCAAATACTGGTTTTCAGATGTAATGTATTTTGTTATCGCAAGCAATATTTTTGAACAAGTAGCATAAGACATTTTCTCCCCTGATCAAATATTTTCAGGTAATAGGGTCATCTTGGGCACATGATCTCCTGGAGCAAATTCAACAGACAAGGATCTTGGGTTTTGTTAACCGTTCTGTGACCTTCATGCAATCCCAGTTCCCTTTCATATCCAATCCAAGGTCTAAAGTTGCAGATGTTGATCTGATGCTATCTGGCACATCCGAGGTACAAACAACTCATGAAAAGATCATGTACCATGCACAAAAATGTGTTGTTACTGACAGCTACAATCAGATCTTCATTTTTTTTCAGTCATCATGCACTGACTTGATTCATCTTGTGAGTTTCAGGCTGAGACGATACTTTCAGTAGATGCGCGCGCCGCAATCAAGAAACATTCTACATTATCCTTCTGGCCAAGTGCTCCTTCAAACAGGAAAACTCTCGAGTCATCTTTGATGAACCCAACACAGAGCATTGCAGCACTGATGTCCACCTATGTTGGAACTGACAAAGACACTGAAGAACACAAGAATCAGAATTCAGACACCAAAGAACTCTACAGGCAAGACAAAGAAGCAGATGCAGAGAAGAATTTGGAGCGGTTTTTAGAAGCGTTGCGATCATCGCCAAGCGCCTCGCAGGAGCCTCTCCAGTTCTACCCTCCTGGAAGAATCATGCACATGGTTGTGCTGCCATCTCCAAAAGAGCCTAGCAGCATTGATCAATGCAGTCAGGATGAGTGTGTTGCCCTCTATGAGACTCCTCGCAGCATGTATAGTAAGATTCGGCTTGCGAGATCTATGATAAGAGATCATTACATGCCTAGGTACATTGAGACAATGGAGATGCTGATCGATAAGTTTGAAGAAGAAGACAGTCATACATGACTAATTTCGCATTTGCACTTCACTGAAAAGAATGATTATAGGATAAAACTGTAATTCTACAGGACACAACACCGTATACAGAATAAGAGAAGCATAATTTAGATATTTGGAACCCCATGCTTGGTGGGTTCATGAACTTAGAGACTTGAGTTGGCGGCGCGGCAGCCAACATCATAGGAATTCAGGAAGAGGTGAAACTCTGCATCAATTGTCGCTTAGAATTTTGGGCAATGGTTGATATTGTTTTTGTCTGTAACTAGGTCTAAGCCTATGGTAATCTTGTACAATAACTAGGTATATAAAGGATGTATTAACTCTTGTAACAAAAAGGTTCTTCAGGGAACATAATATGAGGGGAAGCCATAACAAGGATGTACTGACTTTTGGCAGGGGAAGCCGGGAGGTACATGTGGGTCTTCATCGTAGATGAATGGTGATGATTATTTGCACTTTGCAGAACACTTGGTGGGTCGTCGGCAATGAGATCGGCCTCGTGGCCTCGGTAGGCTGGACTACCTCGGTGTGCGCGCGACGACTAATAACTGGAGGAAACCAGAAGTGGCTTGGAAATTTCACTATTTGCCATCTAATTCACAACCCTATCACAATTTACCACTCAATCCGTAAGCATTTCAGATTTTACCACCCAAAACTGAAAATTTCTTTCATTCTATGCCACTCCCGACTTACCCCTCCCATCAGTCCATTCGTTCGTGTCTTGCCGGATGGATGACTGGACTGACGAGTGGTATGGAACGAAGAAATTCACAGTTTCGATGGTAAAATCTGAAAGATGTTCGAATTGAGTGGTAAATCATGTGAGGGCCGATGATGGCAAATAGTGAAATTTATCTGAGAAGCACTAGCAGCCATTTCGGTGGTAACGGGCAATTTTCTGCTGGAATAGTGCATCCAGGCGAGGGGGATCATCACGCGCACACAAATTTCTGCTGGGATTGGAATCACATTTGTTCTCGCCGGTGTGATCTTTGTGTGTACAATCACACCTAAATTGTGAAATGAGTGTATCTCTCAACTGGTTAGATTTCTTGTGGGGGAACCGGTCTATATCCAATGTGTAAGAGACAATTCAATACATGTTTTTTTAATTGCCATGTTACTATAGTTTGTTCCTGGACGTTTGTTCTCTTTGCTTTCAATGTATGCATATCCCTCTCTCCAAAGAACCAAAATATTCTTGATAACCAGCTCGGAGGAGTGCCTAGATGCTAAAAATGATTTATTTGGTACTATAGCACACTATGTCCGTGTTTAGATTCAAAATTTTTTATTCAAACTTTCAACTTTTCCGTCACATCAAATGTTTAGACATATGCATGGAGCATTAAATGTGGACAAAAGAAAACTAAATGCACAGTTTGCATGTAAATCGCAAGATGAATCTTTTGAGCCTAATTACGCCATGATTTGACAATGTGGTGCTACATTAAACATTTGCTAATGATGGATTAATTAGGCTTAATAGATTCGTCTCGCAGTTTACAGGCGGAATCCGTAATTTGTTTTGTTATTAGTTTACGTTTATACTTCAAATGTGTGTCCGTATACTTCAAAAAAAATTTGGCGCACAAACTAAACAGCCTATGTTGGGTAATTCAGCGTTCCCGAAGTGATTGAAGTTTTCAATAACTAAGTCTAAACGCACATAGGCTATCTTAATGTTTTCTACTCCCTCCATTCTAAAATATAATAATCTAGAATCGGATGTGACATACCATATGACTATAAATCTGGATAAAAGTATGTCTAGATTTGTAGTCCTACTATATGTCCCATATCCGATTCTAGATTGATATATTATGGGACGGATGGAGTAGCTAGCTAGCATAATATTGGTCTATATATTATGATCGGATGTGATATATACTAGAACTATGAATTTGGATAATGATATGTTCAGATTTATAGTTTTACGATATGTTCCATCTAATTTTAGGTTGCTATATTATGGGACGGATGGAATAATTAGCTATAATATTGGTTTATGATATTATGACAAAAGGATCTGAATATTTTATGCAATAACTCTACACTCTGAATTTGGTAGTAGGGATCTTTTATTCTACCATGGTGGCATAATACATATACATTTATTAGTTAAGAGTCTCTATTATTGAAAACATCCTAACTCAACAATATTTCTATTATTGTTGAAAGAATGAACTAGTCATCTGAAAACAAGTAAAAAAAATGGCATCATGCAAAAGAATGAATTAGTAAAGCATCCACGAGCTGTATGTCTGTTGTTCTGGTTAATTAGGGGATTCTTTTGCATGATGCCATTTTTTTTACTTGTTTAGGAGGAATTACAAGTTCAAAGTTGATTTTTTTTTCAAAAAAGAATAACATAAAAACCAGTAATCCATTTTCAGATCTTCAACTATTATATGTCACAACCAAATTTGAATTTTGGAATTAATTAGGGAGGGGTTTTCGTCCCTTTCTTTTTGCAACCATATTTTTATCACAAAAGAAGTATAAAAGTATTACCCTAAGATTAATTTTTTATTACTTCATTCATTTTTTTCTTGGCTTTTAAGTTGGAGCTCAAGAATGGAAGTTAATTTCTATTTCAGTTTAAAAGCTAATTAAAGGACATACGCCATGCATGACATGGAGCTGTGATATCACCGTTGACCCTTCCTATTTCTCCGTCCCAAAATACATGATGTATAGGCAGATTTGTAGTACTAAATAATAATGACATATCATGTACTAGGTAGCTATATTTTAGGATAAAGATAGTATTAATTATCTGCAGTGCCTACTATCTTTTTTATTCGAGAAAGGAAAAGGTACAGCCTGCAGAAATACTAGATCAGTGTGTGATAACAAACCTCGTAATGGTACTATATAACATCACACGTTTATATTTAAGAATGACCCAATCTTTTGAGTAGTACATATAAGTCAATTATTAGTTTAGATTGTTAATTTGTCATACATGCTAGTGGAAAGGATGAAAGCTAAACCCAGGAGGAATCAATGCTTTCCTACCGGGCCCGAAGAACGAACTTTGACGATTAATTTAATCTTCTTGCAATGAAGGCTCAAAGCAGGTAACCATTTTCCTGAGAAGTGAACTATTTTACTTTTGGAATACGAGGCTAGCGCACTGATCGATCAGCAGGCAATGAGTTACTTCTTCGGTTTTATTTTAATTAATATTTTGGACAATAATACGGTCTACAAAATATATAGCACTTTGAAAGACAAATTTATATATGTTGTTCTAGTTTTTTTAAACTAAATATTTTTAAAGTTATTGATGGTCAATGTTATAAAAGTTTGACCTCAACCTTGTCCGAAACATCAATTATTATAGAACCAGAGGGAGTAGGGCATTGGGGGAGTTTCTAGCTGCAGCTTCTCCCTAAATCTCCAGCTCCCCAAACAGTTCAGATTGTTACCCAGATTCTGAGAAGCAATTGTAGAATCTAAAAAATAAACTAGAACTCAGAAGCTGGAAAACTCAGCTTCCTCAGGTTCTAAGAAGCTGGCTACCAACCAGCAGATTCTCAGAATCTTAAGCTCCTCCAAACAGGTCCATAATCTCTCAAAAGGATATTTCATCGTACATCTTTTTCTCAAAATGCAATGCAAATAATTATAGCATCTATCACTCTACCAGAAATTAAGCTCAAACTCGATCATATACACATTTAGAAGAAAATTACGGGCCAAATTAGGGCTCATTAATTTGAATAAAAGGATTAAAGAAATAGAGAAATAGGAAAACATACTATTTTTCATAAGTGTGCAAATGCAAAATAGAGAATTGCAAACATAGGACAATAATTAATGACCATTTGTATAGACCACAAAAAAGACAAACAAATCAAAAGAGAGAGATTCAAAAGAAAATTTTTAAGAGGTTAGAGCTTTTAGTAATTTTTCTACCAAATCTTTACAGGATTGTCAAGACAATCCATAATAATTTCAAAGGAAAGAATAGTATTTAATCTTTTAATTTAAAGGTCTTCACATGATTTTTTTTTCTTATAGGATTGTAATCTTCCAATTTTTTTTATGTTTTTCTACAAATTGAAGGGTCCTTACTTTGGAATTTGAAGATATAGCTGATCGATCAGCTTTGGTCTTAATTTGCATTATTATTGACCTAAGCTTGCTTGTTGATCGGCAGGGTCACCACCTGCGAGGTTGCAAATGTCTAGAGTATAGTTAGAAATAATTGAGACGGGAATATGCGATGTGGGACAATGAGTTGAATTATATATATTGACCTGATAGACATGTATGAGTACTAGGTTTTTGTCTATAATAAAAGTACAAAGACAAAATTGTTGTCAAATCACAAATTATTCTAATCTATCTCTTGATAGATATATATTCGGGTTTACTAAAAAATATGACGTAACATTTTTCACTTGACGTCGGTCATTTTTTTTTTTCATATGTGACTGTTCTCTCCTATATGTAAAAATATGTTTTTATTTCTCTTATTTCCTCTTGCAAATACTCATCGTCCTAAAATATTTAGATTATCGTGAGTAATCTCCAATACTAAATTGCTATATTTTGGAACGGAGAAAGTATATAATAAATTAAATTTAATACTAATTTTATTAAATATTATGTATTAGAAAAATTACAATGTAAATATTGGAACATACGTATTGAAATTCAGAGTGTAATTACAATATAAATGTATAAATGTATGTAATCTACGGTGTAAAAATAATTTGATTTCTTTTGTCATATAGTATAACGTGATGAATATAGCTACTACTTCCTATATAAGTCCATATATATCCTCTTACACACAAAGCACACCACTCCTCCGATCGAATCCTAATTAACCGAGATCGATTTCCCCCGTATAATTGCAGCGCTCATCAGAGCAGCTGAGGTGGAGAGGGAAAGAGGACGAGCTGGCGGATACCCACGGAGCCGTGACCTCCTTACTGAGTCGCGCCTACGGTGCCCTTGCCACAGGATCGCCACTCAAGGCCCGGGCACGAGAGGTGGCCGAGCGGCAGGGGTGGTACGGCGTCACCGCTCTGCCGCCGCCGGCGCCGGCCATCATCAGCAGCCAGATGAACAAGCATCGCTTGGATGATCAGCAGCAGCAGCCAGACCTCGAGAGGCGGCGGATGATCGACGAAAGGGGAAATCACCCTAAACGAAAAGGAAGATGAAGAACAAGCGAAGCAGATCGAGGTTATCTCCATCCTAGGGCCACGCGGTACGGGCAAGACTAGACTTGCACGGAAGGTGTACGACATGTACCGCAACAAGTCTCCTAGCGCCGCCACGAACACGCCCCCCGACGCAGAGAGGCACTGGAGGCCATGGTTGCAACCATCGCACCTGATATTTCCAAGACTGCT